GATCAGTTTGGGCCAGTTTGTGCTAGGATGAAATTAACCCTATAATACCCTTACGTTTCGACTGAAGACCTAGTTTCAGTAGAACTAAAAAAATTAAGACTAAAGCATGCAACAGTAGTGTTACGAAAGCCGATGTGTATGAATTTAATAACTTTTCAAAGAAATTCACCTTTTTATTGACATTATATCTGGACTAGATTTACTTCTATGTATGCCCATATATATAAGACCAAAATATGCAATAACAGTATTTCAAAATTAGAAGTAAAGAGTACATACAATTTGCTTATTCTAATATTAAAAATAAAAAAAATATTAACATTAAGCTATAGCACTAGAAAATTGTGAAAAACTAGATTTATAATTTACTTATCCTAATATTCAAATAAAAATTGTTAAGCCATAGCACGTGACATTAAAAAAAATACATTATAGTAAAAATATTAAAATTGTTATATTGATATATTTTAAAACTTAACTAAAATTTTGAAATTGAAATTGAAAGGACACGAAAATTCTCAAATTTATATATAAATTTTTATGAAATTAAATGGATTGTAAATGATGTAACGGTTAAGCTCATGGCTCGTGTGGACAGGTTGTGAGTTCAAACCCCGCTATGAACAACCTGACATCGTGCAGTAGCGATACCCATATAGATCAAAAATATGTTTCGAAATGAAAATAGCTCATTTCCGGCAATGAAAAATCTCTCACACCATTCTTTCTTGAATTGAGTTTAAGTTTAACTTAGCCCTGGGGCAACAGTACCTATCATATTTTTAATATTAGATTAGCAATAATTTTTACTTTTATCGACTGTAAAAATGGTTGGACCTTTATTTTCAAATCGTTGTGTTGAGTAGACATATATTGGGTCTATGAGCACTACATCACTGTAATAATAGTCAATAAGCAGAATTCCGTCTGCAACTAAAATAAAACATAATATAATCTTTAAATCGTTCGTTTGCAATTAAAACGTCTAATATAGTGGCTTCAAACCTTTTTTGCCCCGCGCCCCCTGCTCTAATAAAAAAATGGTTGCGCCCCCCTTAATTTCTTTATTTAATTGAATTTTGTAAATACTAAACTGATATCAAACTACAAATTAATATGCAATATATTATGTAAAATATGCATAAAAACTATTTTTTTGTTAACTTTTTAATATTAAAATTGTTGGGTTGTTTTCGATAATGGTATTCTGAAAACAGATGTAAGCGCCCCTCTTAAAACAACCTGGAGCCCCCCTGAGGGGGCGCGCCCCACAGGTTGGAAACCGCTGAATATACAACCGCGATCAAAACCAAATACTTAAATTTGGCTAAAATATTAACGGAATAACACATTTTCACAAAATTTTATATCAATTTTTCAAAAATATCTACTAGTACCTGAGAAGTTCTCCTTTGAGCGTACCTACTAATATCTAATCGTTTTCTTTTTCATTATTAACAATTTCTGCTCATTGTCTTGTATAAATAGATCGCAAAAAATATTAAAAAAAATCATATGAGTATTACAGCTGCTTTTGTATTAGATACATCTTTGAGTAATATATATATACTCGTACTAATAATTTCAGTAGTAAAACCTACGTTTATTTTTTACAAACATAATGAAGATCAAAAAGTTAATGAATAATAAATGTTAAACGGAAGCCGATAAATGTTAAAGCGCACATGTATCTGATAAGCTGTAATGCATGTGAAACTTCTCCCAAAGCACTTAAATAGTAAAATGAAAGTTTTTGTAAATTTTACAGAAATTCTGAAATGTATTTAAAATTAATAAAATTGTAAAATTAATACTGATCTCTACCTATATTATTTTAATTAATAAATGCAGTAAAAGATTAGAAGAGATGTGAATGTTATTAAATGCCAATAATAGCATAGAGATATCTATATCGACTTCTTAACATATTAAAGATTATTAATGAAGAATATAGAAAACAATATCGCAAAGAAAGATTGAATGAATAATATTCATCAAGATAATAATTAGTAATTACTACTGTAGTGTATGATAATAATTAATTAATAGCACGTTAATTAATTAAGCAGTTGTAACTTTCAAACAACATATATTTGCATATACAGAAACTGAAATGTTTATATGAAACACTCAACTATTGCATCTTTAGCCATATTGATAATTCAATTGAATTGAAATTGAAAGTTTATACAAAGGATGTAGTTGAAAATATGTAAGTTCAGTTAGTTTCATTGTGATATAAATAGAAGTTTTCAAAAAATTTTGTGTTTACCCAAGTAAAATATATATTTTTTTCGAAACTGCTTTTCAAATCCAATCATGCATTTAGGCAAATCGAACGTGTTGAATATAATTTAATAAACCTGGGCCATTTTTTAATAAATGATAGTCTCATTTCCTGAACCACAATCAAATAGTAATCTTAATAGTTTACAATGTTGGCAAGAAATTAATAACTTAAAAGTGATATTTTGGAAACGTTGTGTTACAATAAATGCCTCTCTCAATTACAATAATGAGCAATATCTATACAGATTCGTATAAAAAAAAATTAAATCATATTCAATTTTGAAGCACATTCGGTTTGCCTCCAACATTTTTATTGATTTTGAAAAGTAGTTTCAAAAATTTTGAATTATTTTGTATTGTCACAAACGCTGAGGAATAATATAGCATTAGCAAATATCCTTTACATTTGACATGGTTCATTGAAAGAATTTGAAAAATGTACTTTTATTGAATAATTTAATATATTTCACGGTACACATGCTCATCCAGCCATCAAGTTCCAAATAAAACGTTTAAAGTATTTAGAACACACTTTTAATTAATTATGGCAATGAAATCATTCATCGCAAATTTCTCTCAACAAATATGAAGCTTATACATATATATATATATATATATATATAAATATACATTTGTGTATTTTAATTAATTTTTTGCAAATATCAAAAATTTGGCAAGTAGTACAAATATCTTCATTATAAAATCAATAGTTGCTAGAGTAAGAAGACATTTATTTAACTCCCATCTTATGATAAAGATTAATAGCAAACAATACTGAAATAATGATATTTAAAAATTAAATAAATCAGTCCCAAAGCTTCTTAATACCAAAATTAATATTAGTGCAGTATCTAAACGACGTAACCAATTGTTTCGCAATAATCCATAATTCATTTCTTAGTAGGAATGCTTAAAATAAATGAATTCTCTACATATTTTCTGATACTATATGAAAAGGAATTGTGTCCAACAAAATCTCATTATCTACAAAACCGCTGTTCAAACATATTTGCTACTAAACATTTAAATGTGCGTAAATAAATGCAAAATCAGTTAAACTGACAGGGCTTAACATTAAAAATAAATTGCTTTTTCTTGGAAAGAAATTTTATGTATAAAGCATTGAACCTGATGAAAGTTCGTGAATTTACCATTGCCATTAAATAGTACTATTTAAGATACATCTTGAGAAATCTAAATTGATAAAATATTAGCATCAGAGACTGAAAAACTGTAATCAGTTAAATAATACAATATCATATTATTATCTATTAAATATCAAAAGAATTAATATCTAATATTTTTAAAAGTTTCACGTATCTGCTGAGTCTAGGAGAAAAATTATAATTTGTTATTGTAGTACCATAGTACAAATATTTGAACAATTCTTCACAATGATTTGTCTATTTGCATTTTTAGAAAACTCTCATGAAACAATATATAAATGGTCATTTTTATTCAGATTATTACATCCACTATTGCGAGAGAACGAAATCTAAATTGAACAATGGACAATCATAACAAGCAAACAATTAAAATCAAAAGAAAGTTTAAGCTATTTGCCAACAATACGGAAGTCTAATTATGAATAAAATACGTGCAAAACTGCACACCAATTTGGTACAGCGAATTGGTTTTGCTTAACAATAGAACGACCGTTGAAAATTAATTTCAACGGTCGACTTTGACTATAAATCAAATGAATAATTATTATGCAATCTTAAGTCATACTCGTGTAATGATTTAATGACGATTTATGTCGTTTGAATTTTAGGTATAATTTTTTAAGAAAATTAGATTTAAACATCATTTAACTATGCAGTACAACTTACAACTTTACAAGTAATCCTTGGTTTGATTTGCTATATAAATAAATCGTATTCTTTGGCGCTCTACAACCCACCTAAGATGATTCTTAGGTTCATCTATTCTATACTATTGTTCTAAATCATCTTATATAGGGATGTATATTCTTTTATTTATCTTTCTTAATTTAAGAAAACCGATTGCCAAGTAAATATTTTTTAGACAAATTTATTCCACTTACTGAAGAACACAAGAAAAAAACTCCCGTACCTATTTTTTTTTACAAAAAGCGTAATAACATTTAGCTCTTTTTTGCATGCAGATAATTATAAAAGAAGATAACTATATCAAAAATAAAACATTATCAGAAATAACTAATAGTAATATATAATTAAATCAAATTGAATAAATTGACACACAAATGTTTTTTGGTTGTGTGTTTTTTTATTTATTTAAAGCATTTAACCTGGTAGTTATTTATCAAATTGGATATTGAAAATCTGATAGCTAGAGCATCTTTAGATGAACAGAATGACTTTTTCAAATATTTGTTTAGTGATATACATCTGCATTACTAATTTTTATTTTTTTTAATTATATATTACTAATAGTTGCATCGGATAATTGTCTTATACTTCATATAGTTTATCATTATTTATAATTAGCTGCAAGCAAGAGCTAAATGTTGTTATGCTTTTTGTAATACACATCAAATTGGATGAAAAATTTCCTCTATCAATTATCAATAAAAATGACAATGCCTCTCATAACTTTGTTCGAAATTCATTTGTGTTTTAATTATATCAGTTCATTAATTAGTTTTTTTCAATGCCTAAAATAAATATGTATAAATATTTTATAAGTATTCATATTTACTTAAGTTTAATATTTTTTTTTAATTTCAGTTTTGTGTGGCTCTGCTTGCTACGTTTGGTTTTGCGCATGCAACCTTCGGCAAGGAACAGTAAGTATTATAATTTATTTTATAATATTACTTTAGCAAACATTTCAAGATATTTAAAATAGTTCATGTTTTGCATATCTAAATAAATTAAAGACTGTTCATGTTTATTATAAACTTTCAAGGCAAGAATGAAGCTTTGTGCAATGTCAACTTATCAAAATACATTTGATAGAAACTGAAATAAGCTCTTGCATTTCTTCATTCACTGATTACTTATTTTTGAAGCTATTGAAATTGGCCCAGTACAACTTGCTATTTTCATGAATATTATTTAATTCAAATTATAAGAACTAAAAAATTTTATATAATGAATTAATTAGTATCAAAACGACATTAATGCTCAAAAAATAGTTCTAAAAATAAAAGAACAAGTTTGTATTCCAAATTATCGTGGAATTGAATGATATAAGTTAAAAGTGAAGTTTCATCGAAATTATTGTTGTCAGCACCATTATTTGAAAGTGAATGTGAAGAGAAAACGGTTTGAATAAGTGGTTCAAATCAAAAAATATTTTTATAACCATTTTAGAAAACCAAAATTAGGTCCTTATTAATTTAGAAATGTAATGAAGCAAATACTTTTGAAATATATAAATCGTCATATGCATATGCAATTATATTGCGTACCCATTCGTGTGCCGCTCTGGAATCAATCAAATACTTTTATAGTAATATGATAAGAATAATTGAATACTTTGTTCAAATTTTATTATTTTCTAAATATATTTACTTCAAACAATATATTATAAATATGTAAGTTAGAAACATTGTATTTAATCATTTACAGTGTCCACATACGAGTGCATATAAAGGAACCAGTTCATAAAGAAGAACACCACAAAGAAGTAATCATTCATGACCATGGTGGCGGTGGTGGAGGTGGCCACGGTGATTTTGGCGGTGGCTTTGGCGGCGGGGGTCATGGAGGCGGTGGTGGTGGCCACGGCGATTTTGGAGGTGGCTTTGGCGGCGGCGGTTATGGAGGAGGCCATGGCGGCGGAGGAGGACACGGAGGTGGTGGCGGCGGACCCACTATAATCATAGAACAACATGATGGTGGTGGTGGGGGCGGCGGCCATGGCGGATTCGGCGGTGGATTTGGAGGAGGCCATGGTGGAGGTGGTTACGGAGGCGGCGGCGGTGGCCACGATGATCATCATGGTGGCGGAGGAGGATTTGGCGGAGGATTTGGAGGAGGCCACGGAGGCGGTGGTGGTGGAGGCCATGGCGGTGGCGGTCACCATGGTCCGGGATTAGCGGAAACATTAATTGGAGGTTTTCTAAGCGGCGGAGGCCACGGCGGAGGCGGCCATGGAGGTGGTGGCCACGGCGGTGGTCACGGCGGAGACTTTGGCGGTTACGGTGGTGGTGGCGGCCACGATGATCATCATGGCGGCGGCGGAGGTGGCTTTGGAGGAGGATTTGGGGGTGGTTTTGGAGGAGGTGGCCACGATGATCCCATGGAGGCGGAGGTGGATTCGGTGGCGGCGGTGGATTTGGAGGAGGTGGCGGCCACGATGATCACCACGGAGGTGGTGGCGGATATGGAGGCGGCGGAGGCTTTGGAGGTGGCTTTGGCGGTGGTGGCGGAGGGCATGATGACCACCACGGATGGTTGGATTTGGAGGAGGAGGTTTTGGCGGTGGCGGCGGTCACGACGATCACCACGGAGGTGGAGGAGGATACGGCGGCGGCGGTGGCTTCTCAGGTATCTTTGGCGGCGGTGGCGGACATGGTGATCATCACGGAGGAGGAGGAGGAGGTGGATTTGGAGGAGGTCACGGAGGTGGCGATCACCACGGAGGAGGAGGTGGATATGGAGGCGGCGGAGGATTTGGCGGTGGACACGATGATCACCATGGCGGAGGAGGTGGCGGCTTCGGCGGTGGTTTTGGAGGCGGCCACGGTGGCGGAGGCGGTGGTTATGGAGGAGGACACGGGCGGCGGCGGCGGCGGTGGTCACGATGATCACCACGGAGGTGGTGGCGGCTATGGAGGAGGAGGTTTTGGAGGCGGATTTGGTGGTGGACATGACGATCACCACGGTGGTGGTGGAGGAGGATTTGGCGGCGGTTTCGGAGGCGGCCACGGTGGGGGAGGTGGTGGTTATGGTGGCGGTGGACACGATGACCATCACGGAGGAGGTGGCGGAGGAGGTTTCGGCGGCGGACACGGCGGAGGCTCCGACAGTTATTCTGGAGTAGATAGCTATAGTGTAACTAGTCACGGAAGCTTTGGCGGCGGCGGTGGTGGAGGCCATCACGGAGGCGGCGGTGGATTCGGTGGTGGCCACGGAGGTGGTGGTGGCCACGGAGGCGGTAGCGGACATGGTGGTGGTGGCCACGGAGGTGACAGCTACCTGAATGGTGCTTCCGGTGGATTTTCACCTAGCGGCCCATATCATTAATGTGAATGACAGTTGATGTTGATCAGAAAAAACGTCACGGTATATTTTGCTAATGATATACTTTCTTACGAAACAAAATATATATTGCTTATATCATTTTATTTCTATGAATATACACAGAAGTAAATGATACCGACAATAATTCACAAGAATTAGCAAAAATTCACAATGAATGAAATAACGATGAATAAATGAAAGAGTGTTAATTATTGTATTATAATAATTAATGTTAAATGTTACACGTATAAATATGAAGCTAATATTTCTGAGAATTGTAAATATAAATAAATTTTTATACGGTTAATATCTTGTTATAAAGAGTAATTTAAGAAAATAACGAGTCTGTATAGTGTTATATAATTGTAAATATTAACTATTTTAATAAAGTTGTTATTATCTAATAAATGTTTTATCTTCATTTATTATTATTAATGTTTTTCGAATACTTGAACATACTTACGTATTAAATCTTATAAAAATCGCAAGTATAAGAATATATAGCCAATGAAATATTACATTATCTACTTACCAATGTTAATCCAAAAATGCAGCGTAAAAAATATTTTGTTTAAAAAAATAGT